GTGTCTAAGCATTTTTAATGACCCCCATTGCCATGGCACCATCTGGATACTTGACATTTTAAAAACAAGCATTTCAGCATAATAGATGAATCTACCTTGGGTGGCTATTATGCAGGTCTGACTGCTGAACATATAGGCTCATCTCACCATGTTAAACCTTAGTAAGCAGAAATATCACACTGAGAGAATTAACATGAGTGTATTATAAAGAAAACTTAACTTGAAGAGGCCCTCTATAACAATGAGAGTGATGGTCCCAGAAACCCAAACCATGGGAAATAACCTGGTGGAGTTTGGACAGAGGCATCCTGACAATGAAGAGGTCATAGGGAGATGTCAGCATTGCAGACGAATCATCACTTGCCTTACAATCAGCTCCAGCAAAGAACGCTCAGCTAAGACATGACCTAGTCAGTGAAGAGTCACAGTTATCCTGCCTTTTAGTACCAAACGATATCCCTTAGCTAGGACTTCCTTAAGCCTCCACAGGTCATGGGAAAAGGTGGAAGCATTAATGTTAAAGGTCACCTATGTTATGTATGAAGCATTTTTGATTAATGCATCCATCAATTCAATATAATCAACAGTAACATTTTACATACAACTTCATGCAAAGTATAATTTTAGGTCCTGCAGATGCAGTGATAAGCAAGACAGACTATATTTCTACATCTTTGGAACTTAAGTTCTGCCTGGAGCCTGGGGGAAGGGGTGGCAGAAGGTTGGAGCCTTTAGACCATCTGTGGACTTGTGAGCTAGATATTTTCCCTCTTCTACAAATCAGGTAAGACTCAGGAAGCCTGAAAGACTTCTACTAGATTGCACAACTAGCAGGTCATAGAAACTGCTTTAGGATCTAAGATTGCAACATAAAGCTTCTGTTATACAATCAGGAAATATGCTTCGGGCAAGGACTTCTTACCTAGGACTTTTTACTACTTACGCTAGGCACCTTGAGATAAGGCTTCTTGGGATCAGATTTCACACATTAGAGATTTAGGAGACATTGGTGGCTCAGAGGTTAAAGTGTCTGCCTCCAATGTGGGAGACCTGGGTTTGATCCCTGGGTCGGGAAGATACCCTAGAGAAGGACATGGCAACCCGCTCCAGTATTCTTGCCTGGAGAGTCCCATGGACAGAGGAGCCTGGTCAACTGAGCGACTTCACTTCAAGGGAATGCAGAGTCTCTCTGTGCTTAATTTCAGCTATTTTAGGACTATGATAAGATTTTTGGACTATGACTTTAAACTATGTTGCTGTATGGGAAATACACATTCAGAGTTTTAAATTAATGATTCACAAATCAACTTTTGGAGTCCCTCACTCTGCCATTTCTGATTTCTAATGGTCTGGTTTCTAAAATCTACTTTTCATGATAGTTTCCAGTTCATGCCCATCTGAGCAAAAAGAGCAACTCAGCACAGTTTTTCTTCTATTCTATTCCTTTCAAAATTGTTCTCTTCCAATGAGTACCAATCTGTTGTTTCTTCCCATGTCACTTCTGGGATTCAATAATTGATTTCTGTCTCTAATGCCTAGTATAAGGGGTAGGGCTTAAACCTCTATATCTCAATATTCTGGAACTCTAATAAAATTACTTTAATTATCATAAACTACAGTTTTTTTGCTTTATAAGGATTATTAATAAAGTATGATAAATAAAATCATATACTATATGTTGTATAGAATATAGGATATTTATCCTCTCCAAATGAATAGGGAAAAAAGAAGGTAAAGGGAAAAGCAAAATGTTTAATATAAAGAAGTATTTATTACAAGACTTTTCAGAAAAATAATGTGTGAATTTTAATATTAATAAGGCACTAAAGTATATAAAAAATTGCCATGTACAAATTAACACATTAAAAGGAATTAAATGTAAGCCTAGTGACAAAAAATCGTTAGTTCATATGAAAGATACATTTGCAAAGACAAAATTCAAAGGGAGGCTACATCAATAAGGGTGAAAAATAAAATTAATTATCCTATTATATAAATATATTTTGGCCATCTTTAGAGGTTATACCTGTTTTTAAATAATTAACTAATAATTTTATAGAAGTGGAAAATTTATGATGTATGCCTTTATAAACAGAATTTTCTACATCTACAATAAGGTCCTTTATGATGTCTAATTTGTAATTTGCATTACTTAAAATTTTGTATATAACAGGATTGTTTTTTTCTAATTACATCAATTTACCTTTTGTCCTCAATCTGGTTACAGGCCTTCTGCTTAGTTCTTTGTGCCTAAATCTATGTCTTGGTAATCTGCTTAATATCCTCCTCCCTCTGGAATTTAAAGTAGCCGCTCTTGATTGACAGCCTCTTTCCAAGACATTTTAGGCCATGCTTGTATCCCATCAAGGAAGGATTACTATGTGCTTATAGGCTTCCCTGATAGATCAGTTGGTAAAGAATCTTCCTGCAATGCAGGAGACCCCGGTTTGATCCCTGGGTCAGAAAGATCCTCTGGAGAAGGAATGGGCTATCCACTCCAGTATTCTTGGGCTTCCTTGTAGCTCAGCTGGTAAAGAATCCACCTGCAATGTTGGAGACCTGGGTTTGATCCCTGGGTTGGGAAGATCCCCTGGAGAAGGGAAAGGCTACCCACTCCAGTATTCGGGTCTGGAGAATTCCATGGATTGTATAGTCCGTGGGGTGGCAAAGAGTCAGACATGACTGAGTGCCTTTCACACAGGCTTTTTTTTCCTTAGACTTTTCTATGTAAATTTCAGTGATACATTGGCCCAACTCTCACCGGCTTGCAAAGCTCAGGTTGGCACTGGCATTCGGAAACAGGTCGTGGCCTAAGGAGAGAGACACCAAGAAAGATTCCTAGAAGGGCATAACCGAGGGACCTTTGGGGTCATCTGCCAGCTGCTCCATGTACTCAGTCGTGCCTGACTCTTTGCGACCCCCTGGACGTAGTCTGCCAGGTCCTCTGTCCTTGGAGTTTTCCAGGCAAGAATACTGGAGTGGATTGCCATTTCCTACTCCAGGGGAACTTCCCAACCCAGGGATAGAACCCAAGTCTCTTGTGTCTCCTGCATTATCAGGGGAATTCTTTACCACTAGCACCATCTGGGAAGCCCTAGCTTGCAAAAGCCTGGTGTTAAACATTCACAGATTCTCTGAGGGGGAAAGCAGCCACAGTAAAAATATTGAAAGCAGGGAAATCATCAAATGCTTCTAACCCCTGGAAGGCTGGTTTATTAATGCACCACAGAATCATTGTGACCAAAAGGTAAGTTGATGCAATCTTTAGATACATTAGATAACTGTGTTTCAATCTCCTGACCATGAACCATTACTGAAATATTTATGTCATATTCTAGTAGATCTTGTCCTAGTACTTTGAACTGGCCTTACCTTAAACATAGACTATCTTAAAGAACACACAGAAGAACTGTACAAAAAAGATCTTCATGACCCAGATAACCACGATGGTGTGATCACTCACCTAGAGCTAGACATCCTGGAATGCAGTCAAGTGGGCCTTAGGAAGCATCACAACGAACAAAGCTAGTGAAGGTGAGGGAATTCCAGTTGAGCTATTTCAAATCCTAAAAGATGATGCTGTGAAAGTGCTGCACTCAACATGCCAGCAAATCTGGAAAACTCAGCAGTGGTCTCAGGACTAGAAAAGGTCAGTTTTCATTCCAATCTCAAAGAAAGGTAATGCCAAAAAATGTTCGAACTACCACACAATTGCACTCATCTCACATGCTAGCAAAGTAATGCTCAAAATTCTCCAAGTCAGGCTTCAACCTGACTTGTGAACCATAAACTTCCAGATATTCAAGCTGGATTTAGAAAAGGCAGGGGAACCAGAGATCAAATTCCAACATCCACTGGATCATCGAAAAAAGCAAGAGAGTTCCAGAAAAACATCTACTTTTGCTTTATTGACTATCCAATGCCTTGGACTGTGTGGATCACAACAAATTGTGGAAAACTCTGAAAGAGGTGGGAATACCAGGCCACGTGACCTGCCTCTTGAAAAACCTGTATGTAGGTCAGGAAGCAACAGTTAGAACTGGACATGGAACAACAGACTGGTTCCAAATCAGAAAAGGAGTATGTCAAGGATGTATATTGTCACCCTGCTCATTTAACTTATGTGCAGAGTACATCATGAGAAATGCTGGGCTGGAGGAAGCACAAGCTGGAATCAAGATTGCCAGGAGAAATATCAATAACCTCAGATATGCAGATGACACCACCCTTATGGCAGAAAGCAAAGAAGAACTAAAGAGCCTCTTGATGAAAGTGAAAGAGGAGAGTGAAAAGTTGGCTTAAAGCTCAACATTCAGAAAACTAAGATCATGGCATTTGGTTCCATCACTTCATGGCAAATAGATGGGGAAACAGTGGCAGGCGTTATTTTTGGGGGCTCCAAAATCATTGCACATGGTGACTGCAGCCATGAAATGAAAAGACACTTGCTCCTTGGAAGAAAAGTTATGACCAACCTACACAGTTTATTAAAAATCAGAGACATTACTTTGCCAACAAAGGTCCATCTAGTCAAAACTATGGTTTTTCCAGTAGTCATGTATGGATGTGAGAGTTGGACTATAAAGAAAGCTAAGCACCGAAGAATTGATGCTTTTGAACTGTGGTGTTGGAGAAGACTCTTGAAAGTCTCTTGGACAACAAGGAGATCCAACCAGTCCATCCTAAAGGAAATCAGTCCTGAATATTCACTGGAAGGTGAATGAATGAATGATTCATTCATGGAAGGTGAATGAATGGATTCATTCATGGAAGGTGAATGAATCAACTTCACTGATGCTGAAGAGGAAACTCCAATACTCTGGCCACCTGATTAGAGAACTGACTCATTGGGAAAGACCCTGATGCTAGGAAAGATTGAAGGCAGGAGGAGAAGGGGGCAGCAGAGGATGAGATGGTTGGATGGCATCACCCACTCAATGGACATGAGTTGAGTAAACTCCAGGAGTTGGGAACGGACAGGGAGACCTGGAGTGCTGCAATCCATGGGGTCACAAAGAGTCGGAGATGACTGAGCAACTGAACTGAGCTGAACTGAACTGAACCTCCAGCAATTTATAAATGTAAGTTGATAATTATGTATTGTAGTACAGAATATTCTCTATTATGAAATGGGATTGCAATTCACACATAAATGTAAGTCAAGCACCAGGTAAAGATTCACGGGGCTCAGAAAGTACACCCACTACAGTCTGGCTTTTCAATATAACTGAATACAACTCTTTTTTTTTTTTGCAAAAATAAAATGATAGGTAACAAAAACGGTATTTTCTTCCCTTCTTATGCCAAATGTTTCTTAGTACATTTTTGCTTATTAATGTCTTAATTAAAGTTTCCCAGAACCCCGAATTTCTAGCTCATGCTCTGTGCTTCCTGAAACCAGTCTAGTTAAAATCATCAGCCCCTGGCCCTGCTCCCATAGCTACTGCCAACTGTCCAGCACGTTAAAGTAATCAGCAGATGTTCAAGAAAGGTGGTGAGGCCTTTGGGATTTATTTCAGGGTTTCTTTCTGACAAAAAAAAAATTCATTTTAAAAGAGAATTCCGGTGTGAACAAGTGATCAGAAGTCTTTCAAAGTTGTAAATATTAAAGCAAAACCAAACGATCTCACAAAACTCACAAGTTTTTCTTTTCCAAAGTAACTCTGGGCCCTCTTTCTGCACACGTCAAGAGGGCACCTAGGGATACTTGCCTTAGGTCAGAGGTCAACACACCTTTTCTGTAAAGAGTCAAATAGTAAATACACAGGCTCAGCACACCCCACACATTGCTGTCACACACTCTTTGTTGAGGTTTATAACATCCCTTCAAAAAAAAATGTAAAACCATTCTTAGCTCTGGGCAGTTTCTGTCCACTAGCTATCCTGTGTTGACTCCTGGTTTAGGGTCCAGGGGAAAGGCAGTGCACAGAGATGGGAGAATGTACTTTTTTTTTTTTTTTTGACTTTTTATTTTATATTGCAGTATAGCCGTTTAACAAAGTTGTGGTAGTTTCAGGTGGACAGCAAAGGGACTCAGCCACAGGGAGAAGGTATTCTGACCTGGGGCCAGCATGGACAGAGGAGCCTGGCAGGTTACAGACCACGGGGTGGCAAAGAGTCAGACACAACTTATCAACTAAACAACAGCAACAAATAAGCCTCTTAGCTCTGTGTCCTCCTGGTCCAGCTTCACCTGTTTCCTCAACAGACAAGCAGAGGGTTTGCACTGGAAATTTCTCAGGCTCATTCGAGGATCCTGTGAGTGCCCCCAGATAACCTGGCTCAAGATATCTCCCGCTGCTGCTGCGCACCACCTGTGTGTTCCTTCCAGGCCACAGCATCATCCAAAACCTCAGCCTGTCCTCTCCTCCTCAGGCAGCCCTCCCCGGAGCCACATGCTCGAGGGAAGACAGAACACATCAGAACCACGTCTGCCCAGGAAGACATGCTGCCACCTGAAAGAAAGCCAGCCACTCACCTGAGACAGGGCGCCCTGTTTCTTGCAGCTGGAGCCTCCGATGAGGACCGTGTTGGGCATGATTGGTCTGGGATACTCGAACACAAAGTCGTATCTTAACAGCCAAATGGAGGCCTTCCGATACAAGGCCGGCAGGTGCACCTGCCTCCCAAGGAGCTCCCCCGCCAGGTCTTCATACTTGGAATACAGCAAGTAGAGCAGAATGTTCTCCAGGTAGCTCACCAGGAAGTTGCCCACCCTCTGGAGGAAGGTCATCCGGTCCGAGAACTGAGTGTAGTACCTGGGGACGTAGGACAGGGGGCTCGGAGTCCTGGTGAACGTGTTCTCCAGGGTGCAGGGGAAGCCCCTGAAGAGGTATATGGAGGGCAGGCTCAGGTACTCGGCCAGGATCACCCCGCAAGGTAAGGCCGGGTCTGTGAACAGGGCGTCGAACTTGGTCTCCCGGAGGAAGCGCAGGGTGTCCGCGTGCCTCAGGAGACTCTGGCAGTTGGTAAAGTACATATTGATGACAATCATGTTGTTGCTATACTCCACCATGGGGGCCGTCACCAGCCAGCGAGGGAAAAGGTGGTGTTTCCCGAAGGAGCGGTAGCGGGCTGCCAGCTCTTCCTGGTCATAGGGCACTGGGTGGATTTTCCTTGTGTAGTACTTGGACTCTTGGAGGAGCAGGTTGACTTCGGGCACCACCACCACGATCTCGTGCCCTTTTTCGCCGAGACGCTCTGCGATGTCCCTCATGCTGAGCCAGTGGCTTCCATCCTGAGGGACCACCAGCAGCCTGTCCCCCAGGGCGAAACCCCAAAATGCTAAGAAGAAAACCGCCACAGAAACTCTCCGAAGAAGGCACGCCATGCTGGAGTGGGCAAGTAGCAACAAGAACAATTTACAGGCTCTAAACTGCCAAGCTCTGGGAGAATTTTTTTTTTTTTTCCCTCAACGAATCCCTGCCCTTCACAAACCCAGCCTACCTCTCCTTGCCCTGAACTGCCCTGTTACATGAAGGAATCTAAATTAATATTTAACCACTTTCAAGCACGTGGCTAACTTGCAATAACCAGGCCCCTTATCGCCGTTCACCTGAGCCTCTCGATTTATTTTTATTTTTCTCTGCATCCCCAACAACGGGTCTGTCCCTCTCCCACTGGGGGGCAACTTGGAGGGTCCCAGGGTCTGGCTTCAGCCCTTCATCCTGAGCAGCCCCCACCCCAGATTCTGCAGCATCCGTGACCATGTCCATGGACAAATATCTATCAGGGCTTCCCCAGTTGTCAACTTTTCTCACTCCCAAATGCAGGGTGAACAGATGCCAAGTTAAGGGTTGGAAACGACACAGCAGAACTGGTCACTCCAAATCCTGGTTACCATAGTGATGACTGGATTCAAGGGGGGAGGCAGAAAGCTGCCCTGGCACAGAGGAGTCTGACCTACCTCCCACCCCACTTCTCCTGGTCTCACCACTGTGCCTGGGGGCCCTCTGTTATACCAGAAGACAAAAAGAATCCCAACAGGGGGCTTCCCTGGCGGCTCCGTAGTCAAGCGTCCACCCGCCAGTGCAGGAGACCGGGGTTTGATCCCTGGCCCAGGAAGGTCCCACGTCCCACAACTACTGAAGCCTTCATGTCCTAGAGCCCACACTCCGCAACAAGAGAGACCTCCGCGATGAGAAGCCGGCGGAACACTAGAGAGGAGCCCCCGCTTGCCACAACTAGAGATAAAAAGGCCCGCAGCAACGACAACAGCAGCACAGCCAAAAGTAAATAAATAAAATTATTTAAAAAAATAATGCTAACAGATATGTGCTCAAAGACCACGACGCCCACTCTGACTGTGGTTAAGAACAGAAATTCTGAAGTCTGCCGCCTCCCCCTCCCCATGCTGCCCCCTCCAGCAGCGCAACCCACTTCTCTGCACCTGAATTACTGCGTCTGCCACAGAGGCTAATCTAGAATTAGCGAGTCAATCCACTAATCCGAGAATGTGGGCACCAGGGCAGGTCCTTCAGAGGGACTTCCTCTGGCTCTGATCAGGCAGCCAGGTTCTGTGTGGATGAACCGAGAAGCCTTCTGCTGGGCAAAAGCAAATCCTCAAATTGTCTCAAAGGGGGACTTCCCTAGTGGTCTAGGGGTTGGGAGTCCACCTGGCAATGCAGGGATGCAGGCCTGAGCCCTGGTTGGGGAACAAGGATCCCAGATGACTTTGTTGTTATTGTTTCTCAGTCACTAAGTTTTGTCCTACTCTTTGCGACTTCACAGACTGTAGCACATCAGGCTTCTCTGTCCTCTACTATCTCCCGGAGCTTGCTCAAATTCATGCCCATTGAGTCGGTGATGCCTTCCAACCATCTCATCCTCTGCTGCCCCCTTCTCCTCCTGCCTTCAATCTTTCCTTGCATCAGGGTCTTTTCCAGTCAGTTGGCTCTTTCATCAGGGGGCCAAAATATTGGAGCTTCAGCTTCAGCATCAGTCCTTCCAATGAATATTCAGGACTGAATTCCTTTAAGATTGACTGGTTTCATCTCCTTGCAGTCCAAGGGACTCTCAAGGGTCTTCTCCAACACCACAGTTCAAAAGCATCAATTCTTTGGCACTCAGCCTTCTTTATGGCCCAACTCTCACATCTGTACATGACTACGGAAAAACCACAGCTTTGACTAGATGGATCTTTGTCGGCAAAGTGATGCCTTTGCTTTTTAATACGCTGTCTAGGTTTGTCCAGATGGCATGCCATGGAGCAACTGGGCCTGCATGCCACAACTAGAGAGTGTGTGAAACAAAGATCATGCATTCTGTAACTAAGACCCAAGGCAGCCTAATAATTAACTAATTTTAAGATAAAATCTCAAGGAGTGAAAGTTCCAAGTCATGCACTGCGAATGGAAAGAGGATAGGAGGAATAAAAGAGGAAGGAGAGAAAGTGAGAAAATGTAGAAATATAAAACAAAGGGAAAGCAGCAGGTGACAGGGATTTGATGGTGACTCAACCAGCCAGCATTTGAAACAAAGATGTGTCTCTAGCATTGGATCCCAGACACCACAGAACACTTTCTTGGCTTAGAAAACAATTTCCCATTGGCTTAGGGAACTTCCCACTAATGAGGGCCCCTGGAAGCAAAGACTGCACAGCAGGTGGCCTAAATGGCAGAAATGTATTACCAGGGTTCTGGAGACTGAATGCCTGAGATCAGGGCATGGGTCAGGTGGATTTCTTCTGGAGGATTTCAGGAATGGTCTGCTCCAGGCTCCCTTCTAGCCTCTGATGATTTACCCTTTTTATAAGGACGTTGTTGTTATTGTCGTCATTTAGTTGCTAAGCTCTATCTGAATCTTTTGTGACCTCATGGACTGTATGTAGCCCACCAGGCTGCTCTGTCCATGGGATTTCCCAGGCAAGAACACAGGAGAGGGGTGCCATTTCCTTCTCCAGAGGGTCCTCCTGACCCAGGAATCGAATATACATCTCCTGCATTGGCAGGCAGATTCTTTAACACTGTGCCACCTGGGAAGCCCTGTGGGGGTTATGTCTACCCAAGTGATCTATTAGATAGTATTACCAACTCAATAAACATGAATCTGAGCAAACTCCAGGAGTCAGTGGAGGACAGAGGAGCCTGTCTTGCCACAGTCCATGGGGTCAGAAAGAGTTGGAAAAGACTTGGTGACTGAACAACACCAACAAAGTGATTTGTTTTAGAAATTAAAACCACTTTAAAAAATGCCTCCTCATTAACTGATTTAAGATAATAAGTCCATTCTGGGTTAGGATAAATAGCATATTAAAGAAAAATACCTGCATTTCCCAAAACAAACAAACAAGAAAAGAGAAGAGTGACACTGTTTTACATTTTTTTTTTTGCAAGTGACAGCTTATAGATTTAAACGATTACAGATTATACTGTCACTGACCAGCTTCCTCTCCCAAAAGAGTCGGTGTTCTTTTGGTGTTCTACCACATGTGCGCAGGTCCCCATGGGAGCTAGCACATGGTGAGAGCACTGGAGTATGAGTCAGAAAGCCGGACTGACTTCCAGCTCTGCCACCCATCAGTCCAGGGTGTGACCTGGCTCTTGATTTTCCTGTTAGCACTGCCTGATTTACTGCTGAGTAGAGGGAGTCCAAAGATGATGGGTGTGGGAGGTAGGCTTTCCAAGTGAGAGGTGGTTCCTAGCAGAACTCAAACAAACTCGCCCAGGACTACTCACGCACAGCTGAACTGGCACGCAAGGGCCTGTCCTAACCTAGCCTCGTGGGCTCAGGAAGCATGTTGGGACTCAGGAAAAGAGAAGAAGCCCAAGAAATGGCATGGAAGGGGCGGTGCAAGCACAACCTGGTCCCAGGAACCCAGCCAAATCGCAAATTCATTGCAACATCCCAGGGAGAAAAGTGCCAGCAGGGTTTCCCACTCACAGTGATCAGAGTCAGGAAAGGAGAGCATCCTGGTGTGTGTCCATCAAGGTGGCACGGAGACCCTGATGGTCCCAAGGGAAGCAGAGTGAGTCAGAGTCTACCCTCCAGGACAGGCAGGACCACCGAAGTTTCTTTGCAAGAACAGTGCTTCTAGAGGGAGGAAGACTGAAGGAAGTGTGTGGAGGTGGATGCAGCAAGATGCCTTGCAAACCTCAGGCTCCTCAGCCCAGGCCCCATCCAGCAGAGGACCCCCCTGGGCCCTTCCTAGCAGAACTCTGCTCTGGTCTCTGAGTTGCTGGACAGGAGGCTTAGCTATGGGGCCTGTTCTTATTCCCAGCAGGCCCAAAGGGTCGTACAAGGAGACAGGAGATGAAAGAAAGAAACCAACACCACTTTGTAAAATGTCACCAGAGAGATAACCTTGCAAACTAAGAAGGGAGTGTGTAGAAGACTGTTTCTATTAATAAGAATGATGTGTGTGTATGCATGTGCATGTGTAAGAACAGGACAGCAGGAAGAAGCATCTAGAGTGTCTGCCAGTCCCAGCAAGGGAGAGGGGAGATCCTAAGGGTGAGCCACCCTGGAGGGCCAGGCCTGCTCTGGGTAGTGCTGTGAGAACCCCTGTGTCCCGGAGCATCACTCAGTGTCAAGGTGGAAAGCCAGCCTTTTCTCAGGGCCTCCTGAAGACCCAACCACTGAGTTTAGGGCGTGTATCCACGGCGGGCTACAGTCCATGGGGTGGCAAAGATCAGACACAACTGAGCAAGTAAGCACAGCATCCACAGGGAGGAGGGGGCAGATCCTGGGACGGAAGCTGAGATGCTCCTAGAATAAAATGGAGGACACCTGGCATTTTGAGTAGAGGGAAGGTGAAAAGGTCTCTGTGTATGTGGAGGGGGTGATGTCATGATAGAAGGAAGATGATTAGAAAGGTTGACCCTTGAATTACCTGCAGCTCATGATAAAGAGGGATTGGATCTACAAGATTTGAAAGGTCCTGCAAAGTGTTTGAGGCCTGAAAAAAGACATTTACTAAATCCAGAATCTAAAAGGAGCAAAATCAAATTAATAAAAAGCTATACAAATATAACCTCAGGTCAGTTGGTCCACTGTGTTTCAGCTCATCAAGCGACAGTGACAGAATATGTGATGTGGCATATGGGGGCAATTTAATCCCCTTGCTAGGGTGCGGGGTAGGGACCCCTGAAGTCAGAGTGCTCTGGGCCCAGGTCTTGGCACAGGTCCCAAAGGGTCAAGTCTGAATCACCCATGGATAGGCCAGTCCTGGCAAATATGGTTTGCTCAGCCTGATGTCTCTGGTGGGCACACATCCTACCATAGGGACCTTGTCTGTGACTTCCGGGGTGGGGTGGGGGGAGTGTGCGGCATCATTGTGGGTGGTGGCCCCAGGAGCCAGCAGTAAGGGGGGGCCACAGGTCACTCAGCAGCCATGAGAGAGGACTTACTTGGAAGAGACAGAAAACTGGACTTCCACTCCCTGCATTTGCTAGACTAAGGAGGCGAGACGTGGGGCAAGGGGGAAGAACGTGCCTGGGTTTCAGTGTGAAATGCCTCGTGACACTTGGGCTTGGGCTGCACTGCTTGGCACAGTCTCTCCCCACCTCTTCCTAAGGTCATTCACCTGGCAAGACACCCCAGTGTCCGTTCTCCCTGTACCCTCTGCTCGTCACGTGCTTTTTGCCGCTTGTAACTGATCAACACCTGCTCCCCACTGGACGGCAACTTCCATCAGGCAGTCATGTTCATTTGTTGGTGCCACGTCCCCAGTTTTTACCCAGGCACATAGAAGACTCTCAATAGATATCTGTTCAATGAAGGATCTTGTATGATAACAAGAAAAGTGTCAACTGCATGTTATTCTGTAGTACTGAAAAAAGCAACAAATGTCATGTCCACTGAGAAATTAGAGAGCCATGAGATAGACGTCAAGCCCACCCTGGGAAAATCTCACTGCATATAACTTCCCCAAAGGTCATAGGCAGGGCACTTCCCAAGAGTCTCCAGTCTGCACAAAGAGACAGTCAAGGGCAAGGTTAGGCCCTTGGCCCCTAAAAGTGCAATGTCTGGGCTCATTGTCCATGAATGTTCAGAGCAGCATTAGTCATAAGAGCCCAAAAAAGTGAAAACAACCCAAATGTCCATCAACTAATGAACAGATGAATAGGTGTGTATGCCCACACAATGGAATATTATTCAGCCATAAAAAGAAATGGAATAGCAATACATTCCTACAAAGCAAATAAACCTTGAAAAGTAGCTGAAAGAAGCCAGTCACAAAGCACCTATACTGAATGATTCCATTCTTGTGAAATATCCATAACAGGCAAATCCATAGAGACAAAAAGTAGATTAGTGATTGCCAGGCCCTGGGGAAGAGGGGGACGGATTGCCAAGGGCTATGGGATGTCCTTTTGAAGTGAGGAAGTAATCTGGAATTAGACAATGATGATGATTACTTACATCTTCCAGTATACCAAAGACCATTGACTGGATATTTTAAAAGGATGAACTTTATGATATGTAAAGTATATCTTAATTAAAAAAAAAAAAGAATATTTGAGTTGGAATCCTGCTTTCCCCCACCCACTAGAAGTGTGACCACAGGCAACTCACTCAACCTCTCTGTGCCTCAGTTTCAGTATCTGCAAAACAGGCTAGTAACAATGCCAATCTATGTTGACTTTCGTTGTTTTAATTTCTAAACCCTCCCTAAGAGTACTCCATCCATCTGAGGGTTAAATAATTCATAGGAGGTTTCCAACAAGAGAACATTGGCGTCTGATCATGTTTCAAAAATTGTGATGGTTGGAAATCATTGTCCTGGGAAATACCTAGCATCACCCAGTTTTGGGGTTATAGCTGTCACCAATTCTTTGTTGCACACTAGGTACTCTACATGCATGATCATATTTGATCTGGAAGAGAGTTCTGTGCGCTGTGTGTGCATGCTAAGTCAATTCCGTTGTATCTGATTCTTTGTGACCCTATGGACTGTAGCCCACAGGCTCCTTCCTCTGTCCATGGGATTCCCCAGGCAAGAGTACTGGAGTGGGTTGCCATTTCCTCCTCCAGGGGATCTTCCCAACCCACATGGAATCGAACCGGTGTCTCTTACGTCTCCTGCATTGGCACAAGGGTTCTTTATTGCTAGCACCACCTGGGAACCCCAACTTACTGAACAGATGCAATACGTACTCAGCAGCAGCTCTCCATTACCCAGGGGCAGGGAAGAACACTGGTTTATAGCTACAGAGAAGATGGTAGTGAGAGAGGGCTAGGGGAATCTGGGCTCTCCGACCACAACATCTGCGTTCCCAGTTCTTTCTATGTACTTCTGGGCAAAACTTCACTGCCTCTCTTAAGTGCTGAAAGCACTATGTCTTGAGTCAGACATTGGGATGCCCTTTCTTGTTGCCCTCTGTGTGGCAGGATTTATGATGAGAAAGTGATATAGGAAAACATGGGTGGAAAGGAGGTAGAGAAGATGAATGTAATAGAGATAGGAAGTAACAGGGGAGCTGCAGGGAAGAGGGAGGCAGGAGACAGTAAAAGAGCAAGTATTTCGGGGAAGAAGTCAGCTCTGACTGCATGTTGGAACTGTTTCTTGGACTTGCTTTTCATTGCTTTTGTTATTATAATCATACTTCGCAGTTTGCTTCCTGCCCCTCTGCCTGACTGTCAAGCTAAAATGCCTTTGTTCAGAACCCTGTCCACCTGTGGATGGCAGGAAGGGGAAAATGAGCACACCCCCTGCCTGAGGCTTGCCATTCTAGGAGATGTTTGCAAGATAAATGGCCTTTTTGCTTTGCTTCCTCACCTTCCCCCCATCTCTGACCTGTAAGAGAAACTAGCATCCTGACCCTGATAAGATGGTTATTTTGAGGTGCTAGTCTGCCATCTTCTCAGCCAGATGGCTTTCCAGATAAAGTCTCTTCCTTGCCTCAGCACCTCACCTCGGATTCAATGAATGGCCTACCGTACAGTGAGCAGGGTGAGCTTGCATTCGGTAACAGAAGTATCCAGAGGGACCGTGAGTGACATCCTGAGTCACGCCTACATATCTATCAGCTGACCTCAGCTGAGGTTCTCGTGCTCCTGAAGACCGGCACTGAGTCCAACAACCACTCACCCTTCTGCTGAGAGCCCCTGGCCCTTCCCAAGCAGAGTGCTGCCTCCCGACTCCTGTTTGCAGCTTCTGGACTTGCCTTAAGTCTTCAGGATATTCCTTTATTTCAGATCGGGCATAGGATCCAGTTCCTTGGTGCCACTCACCCCACCAGAACAACTCTAAATGCCAGGCTGTTTCATGTACCAAAACATCTACGAAGGCCAAGTGTCTCTAAGGTAGAGCTTAGGGGTGACCCAGCACAAAGAAAACTGCTTGAGGCCACATAGAAGACCCTCTTGTTCCTGAAAGTTCTCTCAGCCACTGGCGAGCTCTCACTTGTCACATAACCCTTGACAGTGATTAGTCTCCTCTGCTCCCTTTCCTAACACTGAGAGGCCTAGGAGAGTAGATCTGAATTTTTTTAGCTTTTTTTTTTTGGCTATGCTGCATGGCATGTGGAATCTGAGTTCCTGGACCAGGGATCGAACCTGTGCCCCTGCATTGGAAGCTCAGAGTCTTAACCACTGGACCACCAGGGAAGTCCAGAGACTTCCATTTTTGAAAAGCAGTTTGACTGAAACCTAGGATATAGGCAAGCATTTTTACTTATCCTGTCCTGCAAGGCTCCATGTATTTGTAATGGGAGTGGCAAAAGCCTCAGACTGACATAAAACAAGTACTTTTCTTCCTCTTAACATAACTTTCTGGGACATTTTCACACATCCTTCTACTCCAACTGTGTTTTCATTCAATCAGCAAATTTGCTCCCTGCACCAGACCAGATGCTAGAGATATAGCAATAGGAAAGGCAAATATGGTTCCTGCCTGGAGCTTACAGCACAGGGAGGTGTAACAGACGCTACCTGGGGTTGCCAGGGAACTCATTAATTGCTGTTGGATTACCGATTTTTTAAGGGTGATATCAGGCCCCATGAGAGCATATAACTAGCATGTGTGACCTTACATGGGGACCATAGAAAGTTTCCCCCAGAAAGCATCATTGAAACCAAACAAAAAAAGGACCAGAATTTAGCTTGGTTGTGAAAGGGAGAAAGAGGATTCCAGAGAGAGGAACAGCAGGTATGAGGGCCCCAAAGTGGAACGGTGTGAAAGACTGGAAGCAGGCAGTGGGGTTGGAACATAAAAGAAGAGAAGGATGTGGCTGGCTGGGCGGGCAGGACCTAGAAGACAGAGAGCTTTGTCAGCTGCACCAAGGATGTCTTGGAGCCGCAATTCGACCCAAACGATTGGAGATGGAAACTTGTCCAATTTCATCCCTACTTGTCACCTGGTCCGAGTTCCCTCAGGACCTCGGAAAGCCACAGCAGACACAGGAGAGCATGACTCTGCATTCTGACCAAAGTCAAAATCACTCAAAGTAGAGTAGTCAGACAAAGGCTGCCATCTGCAGTGATGCAACACCAACCACACAGCGCTTCGGATGCCGCGTGCTTGTCCAAAGAGGGGATCCTGGGTCAATCAAACCTACACTAACTTCCAGTTCATAGCAACAAGTTAAACACGGCCGCAAGAGAGCCATCAGACAAACTAGAACATGAAACATTCTACAAGACACTGATCCAGTTACTACAACAAGCAATTGCTAAAACGGAGGAGACGGTTATAGATAGAAGAAATGATCCAATGTGGGAAATATGTTTGTATCCTGATTCAAACCAATCCGCTGTTAAAAGACATTTTTTTCCACTTTAAAAAATTCACCATCTTAATCATTTCAAACTGCACAGGAGAAATAGATGTCCATAAGTTTTTTCATGAAAATTTGCTTTTGTAGTTATGCTATATCCAAGGATCTTGGTTAAGGGGTCTTCTTTGAGGTCAGAATTCTCTCTGATAATTATGCTTACTTTATATTTGTACTTACAAATATATATGTTTTTAATTTTATATGCACTATATTATATATAATTTATATAAATTAAATAAATGTACAATATATGAATTTTAAAAATCTATATATTGCCTTTCAGATATATGAAACCTTTCAAATACATGTAATCCCTTAATAGGTATGGAAAACCATTTATTTTATAGACATGTTGAGTTGGCCAAAAAGTTCATTTTGAGTTTTTTAGAAAAAGACTTTACAGAAAAACCCAAATGAACTTTTAGCCAACCCAGTATACACATATGTAACCAAACATATAAAGCCATATAGGGTTCAACATGTTTTATAGCTCTCTCTCTGTAATAGGCAGATATAAAATCCATATGGCTTTACATATCTCTACACCCTTCTGGGTGACCTATGAACCACAATGGACTGGGCATGGTTTCAGGCTGGCACAATACCCCACCCTCAGATAGAGGGTGCAGATGGCGCTGGGTGGTGCCTGGGGTTGCCACAAAACTGGGCAAAGGGGAGAGGCACAGCCTCTCAGAGTCCTGCAGTTTGGGCCCATAGCTGCCCAGAAGGACTCAGGCTATCTCCCTAACGTTTAAATTTAAATGGATTACTACTCTGAGTAACCTTGCCTTGTACCAGGAGCATCTACTTACTCTAATATATTTCTTATTAACAAGTGATGCAGTGTTGTTTTCAGGGTGAACAGAGCATTATATCTAAAACTCACATTTTCCTGCTAGACTCCCCCCTTCTTACTCACTTGTCTCACCTCTGACTTTATCCTGGGGAGCCCAGCAATCTTGTTCCCCACTTCAAAAGATACTGAAAAATCTGAGTGGCCTGATTTTGTATGGCCCATGAACTAAGAATGGTTGTTACATTTTTGAAGGGTTATAAGTAATCAAAGGAGGAAGTCCTTGGCAGTCCAGTTGTTAGGACACTGAGTTTTTATTGCCAAGGGCCCTGGTCGGGGAACTAAGATCCCACAAGCTGCCCAGGGAAGAAAACAAACAAAGACTAGCTTACAGAGGTAAGAGCAAGAAGTCAGAAATATATGCAGGTAAAGAAATTAAGGGTGTTTAATACAGTCTTGCTTATAAAAGAAAAAGTGGGGAAAACCATCAATATCTGCCAGTATTGGTTAGCTGAACAAACTATGATGCATTCAAGGTAAAGAATTTTATGCGACTACTTAAAAGAGTAGTAGCCTACTCCCTGGTGGTCCCGTGGTTAAGAATCCGCCTTTCAATGCAGGGGATGCGTGTTCCATCCCTGGTTTGGGGACTAAGATCCCACATACAACAGAGGAACTAAGCCAGCACGCCACAACTACTTGGCCTGTGAGCCACAAATAGAGAGCCCTCGAGCGGTAATTCAAGATCCTGCATGACGCAACAAAAATACCATATGCTGCAGTTAAGATCTGATGCAGCAAAATAATAAGTAAATATTTTTAAAAATAAAAAAATTTGAAATAAAAAGAATGACGCATTTGCATATATACTGACTGAGAAGATGTACACAATTGGCAAGAGAAAAAAGCAAGGTAAGGAATTATATGTCCTGTCTGATAGTATATTGTATTTTAATAAATGGCTGTGAGAAGTTACATGAGATACATGCACTTCTATAATTTCAGAAAAACTGGAAGAGATGCATACAAAACCGCTAAAAGCATTTTCCTATAGGGGGTAGCATTGGATCACCAAAAGGAAAGTTTCATTTCTTATTGAAATTTTTTTATCATTTTTTTCAAAAACAGTATTTAAAAATGCAGCCTAGAAATTATAAACAATCACATCAATTGTATACACATATTTAGCAAAGAAGGAGCTTTGTAAAATTTAATAATGCACAATTAGATGAACTGGCACAAAATACTTAGTTCAACTGGAAAGAAATTACAAATGCTAAGGATATAAATGATAAATCACAGTTTACTAAGGCATCTTTTTTTTAAAATGTCCAAAGCCACATTAATCTTCAATATGCTAAAGGAGAAGTAACTTACCACTGACAACGGCTTTTGGTTCGACTCCTGACAGTTGATGCCACCGATGAAGACCACGTTGGGCATCACTGGTCTGGGATAGTCCAAAACAAAGTCATTTCGTAACAACCAAATTGATGCTTGACTGAAGAGCTCAGATGTTGTGACAGGCGTCTGGAGAATCTCAGAGGCAATTTCTTCAACATTTTTGTAAAAATAGTGGCAAAATAAACGTTCCTCTAAGTGCCGGATAAGATTCCACACTCTCTGCTCAAAAGTCATGGCATCAGAGAATTCCAAAAAAGCTCTCGGAACATAAGAAAGGGCCAGGGGACTCTGAGTGCCTTCTTCAAAATAATGGCAGAAAACTCCCCTGGTGAAGATCACAGATGGGAGTGAGAGATACTTGGCTATAATCAAACCACACATATCAAAAGGATCTAGAAACACTGCATCAAAAGAACCCTCTTCTAAGTATTTTACTAATTTCTTGTCCTCAAACAAGCTCTTACAGCGTGAAAAAAAGTAATCAAAAACTGTGTTGGCTGGACTTATTAACATAGGAAGTAGACTCTGTGGCCGAACCTTCCACTGAAAATCAGAAAATTTCCTGAACTCAATGTTCAAATCCTCCAGACTGTAAGCCGTGTGATAAGTCTTTACTATAACATTGGATGAATTGCTCAGGTGCCAACTCACCTCTGGTATGACTAGGACCATCTCATGCCCCCTTTGGGAGAGTTTCTCCACCACTGAACGCATGGTAAACCAGTGGCTCCCATCCATGGGTACCACCAGCAGCTTGCCTGCCCCAGCGAAGCCTGGTGTCAGCAGCAGACACACACACAGAGGAAAGAAGCTGGTTAATATTGCAGGAGCCATCGGACCTGACTGCAGCCCAGACCAATCCAGCTGCCTGGATTCTAAGCTCAGGTAACGTGAGCAGCAGAAGCTCAGGAATAAAAGCCGCCTCAAGAGAGGGCGTGTATTTAGACATTCATTAAAAAAAAAAAAAAATGACATTCATTGCCAATGATTTACTCAGAAGGAAGATAAAGAGTGAGGAGCATTTGCTGAAACTGGTAGTTGTATGCTTTCCAGATGAGATAGCTTTTGATCTTTGCCATGGGCAGCAGCATTGCCCTGCAATTCCCTTTCAGAAACAGAATTCTTAAGCCATGCTTTTGGAATCTGAAGACTCAGAAAGGTAAAAAGGAAAGTAAATTTCAATCAAGTTGGTTTTGCAATTTGTCCCAAAGGAAAATTTGGATTGTTATCTTCAGATTACCAAAGATTCTTTGCCCAGAAAGTGATTGGCATCCCAGATTCCAAGGAAAGATCTGAAGCCCCTTGCCACTGACCTCCTCACTGGCAGTGAACTTGAGGTTCACAGGAGTCTCTACTATGACTGATGTTACTGAAATCAACTTAAAAATACAATTAAACTTATACACACTTATTAGTCTGGCTAAAATTATGAACACTGACCATACTGCATGTTGATGAACACATGGAAAATCTGGTGATTTTCCATAGTCTCATAGACTGCTGGTGAGACTATACAGAGGTTTGGCAGTTTCTTAAAAAGATAAATATATTGAATACCATATAACCCAGCAGATAAATATATTGAATGCCACATAACCTATCATTCATAGGTATTTATCCATGAGAAAAGAAGGCATACCATTACCAGTAAAACTGGGTGTGCTTCCTGGTGAGCGTTGAGCCAAAAGATACAAGCAAGCCAAAGTCAGAAGAAGAAAGGATTTATTACTTGCAGCAAGAAATGAGAAAACTGGAGATTTTGCTCAAAACCATATCTCCCCAACAGCCAAGCTGGGGAAGCTTCAAGCTAAAGGGTACATGCATATTCACAAAGGGGCATGAGCAGAGAATTTAGCAAAGAATTGAAGCGAAGGTCAACAGTCTTAGTTGATTGATATCAGAAGAGGTCAACATGGTCATTCCTTACTCCATGTGGTGGGGACCCTGGCTCCTTCAGAACTCAGAGATAAGTATCAGATTGTTCTGTTTCCCCTTGAGGAGGAACACAGAGTGTTTTATGGTTAAACTATTATATCTTGGCTGCTTTTCCTTTGCGCCTTCATCCCTTCACTTCCCTTAACTCATTATTGACCAGGGCATTTTTGCAGAAACTAATGCCTGTGACCAGTGATTTGTTATGCAACTGACATTAATACATCTCTGGTCATTAATGTTCCATAACAGAAAACAAAATTCTCCAAGCCAGGCTTCAGCAATACGTGAACCATAAAATTCCAGATGTTCAAACTGGTTTTAGAAAAGGCAGAAGAACCACAGATCAAATTGCCAACACCTGCTGGATCATTGAAAAAGCAAGAGATTTCCAGAAAAACATCTATTTCTGCTTTATTGACTATGCCAAAGCCTTTGACTGTGTGGATCACAACAAACTGTGGAAAATTCTGAAAGAGATGGGAATACCAGACCACCTGACCTGCCTCTTGAGAAACCTGTATGCAGGTCAGGAAGNGGGAGGGATTGGGGGCAGGAGGAGAAGGGGACAATAGAGGATGAGATGGTTGGATGGCATCACCAACTCAATGGACATGAGTTTGGGTAAACTCCAGGAGTTGGTGATGGACAGGGAGGCCTGGCATGCTGCGGTTCATGGGGCTGCAAAGAGTCGGACATGACTGAGCGACTGAACTGAACTGAACTGAACAGAAAACATATTACTTTGTCTCCTGTTAATCAAGTGTTTATTAATTACTGGGCTATCAATAATCATGCGTTTATTAATCAGGGCTTCCCCGATGTCTCAGACAGTAAAGAATCTGCATGCAGTGTGCGAAACCCAGGTTCGATCCCTGGGTTGGGAAGATCCCTGGAGAAGGGAATGGCAACTGTAAAGTAAAGGAACTGGAGAAGGCGAGTTTTGGAAAAAGAACGAGCCTGGGACTTTACAGGAACACATCACCTTCAGTGAGGCAAGAAGGGGCCACAGTCAGATTAGTGAGCTGCGCGCTAAGTCACGAAGAGAGCAGATATATAGAGAAAACATATACATGGAGAGATACATTGTTTTGAGGGGGTCTGTTTTTCCTCATGATTATTTATGATTAGTTAGCTTTCAACAACTGGGGCAAGGAATTTCTGATACTGGCTGGAGACCAGGATAGGCTAGGAGCTGAATGTAATCAATCTTAGTGTCTATTCCTTTCTTTGGGGGAGAAAGTTCCTTACTCTGCGTAGAATGGTGGGGAGGACCTGGAGGGGAGTTTTAACTCCAGGCTATTTTGAGCCATGTAGCTTTCCTTCATTCCAGACCCTAAGGAATATATAAAAAGAGGGATAGGCATTGCCAATGTTCAGGGCGTCTTCATGCTGGTAAATGAGGGTCGGGGGTTTGTGGTCTGGGAGGAGGGAAGTCTAAGGCCTGTAGTGTTGATTTTTTATCCTAGCTGCCAGGGTCTCAAGGAGAAGAACAGTCTTGACTTGATCTTGAGAAATGGCTTGGATTTGGTTCTGGAGGAATTCCTAGAAAAGATTAAACAAACAAGGTCCAAATGTGAATAGGAGGATAATAAGTATGAATGGTCCGAGAAGGGGCAAAACCCAAGGCATCCGGTTCCAATCTGTCAACCATGATTGCCAGGAGTTGCTTGATCTCTGGCCGATTCGAGAGGCTTGATCTGTAAAGTTTTTTGCAGCTTCCTAGACAACATCCAACTGGCCGGCATAGAAGCAGCAGGATTTGTCCAGAAAAGGGCACAAACCTCCCTTTTCTGCAGTTGGTAGATCTAATCCCCTTCTATTTTGTAACACTATGGCTGCCAAGGAATTGAGATAATTTTGGATAGCTATTAGAACTTGGGCTATTTCCTGGAGGCTGTCTGGTAGGTCTTTAGATAGTGCATGGTAGCTTTGGACAGAGGTGGTTAGGCTGGCAGTTCCTGTTCCAATTCCAGCCGCTTTTCCTAGTCCCACTAAGAGAGGAATGAAATGAATGGCTCGTTTCATTCGCTTGTGAATGAGAGGAATATGTAGGGGTTGATCACTGGGGGCTATAAAAATGTTTGGACTGGAGTATACCAGGGTGCAGGTTCTGGTCCAATTAGTAGGTAAACAGAGGTATGTAAACGCCCCACACAAGAAAAACAGGTCAGGTGTCACAATACAACAGCTGAAGTTGATGGCAAAGAAGAGTCAGGGGCGGGGGGAGTGGTTGATCATTCATTCAAGAACAGTCAGGGACCACGCTAAGGTGGCCCCAATGATGGGAGAAGTGGAGAAGTATGCTGAGGGAAACCATCTTGTAAAGGTAAAAGAGTGTCCTGTAGGATCAGAAACATTATATACAGCTTTTCCAGTGGCAAAGAGTAAAGTGGAGGTATGCTTACACACAGTTCAAGGATTACACCCACAGGTTGGTCATATGAACCGTTTGGGGAGTTTCTAAATGTGCAAAAAAGAGTTGGTTGTATTAGTGTTACTCTTAGCGATAGTGCCTCCTATTGGAGGTTTTCTGTTGTAGGAGGGAAGGTCAGTGAGTAAAGATTCTAAGAGTTTGTCCGAATTCCAGATTTGATCATTAGTGTGAAGATATTTAAGATATGAGATGAATAAAGGCTCCCCACAGTATGAGTGGCGTATGGATATGTTACCAACGGTCCAATCAAGGATGGATGTGGGATGGGCTGAATCTCCCAGAGATTCCAGATATATCTCCCAGACATATCCAGGAGTCTTCAGCCAATTGTGGGTTAGAAGCATTGAGGAGAGTATGGGTTAAATTAAGGGTCTGGAATAGATAGCTAAGGTTAGGGTTTTGAAAGAGTTCTTGGGTCAGAGGAAAGAAAGAAGATAAGAAGATGTTTACCAACATTTAGGGAAGTGACTATAAGATAGACTATTATGGAAAAGAATTGGACTTCAAAAGGGTAAAAGTCATAAAAGGTTCCCTGTAGCCACAGGGTAAAGATGTAATCTTCAACGTGTTTGAATGTGGATCCTTGAGGTCTCTCGACACAGATATCTGCCAGGAGTTGTTCCAGAAATAATCGTAGCCGTGAAACCAATAGGCTCATCTGTCATCAGTTGGGGCCGGTGGAAGCCATGAGAATTTTAGAGTTGTAGGACATGTGTGAGAAACTTGATAAGGATTAGTCTGGTAAGCATTCTCATCATTGGGCTGCATAACCTTTTTTAGTCGAGTAATGTGCACACAGGGGGTGATTTCTTTTAATTCTGCAGTGATAGGGGTCAGCAGAATTACCATATAGGGTCCTTGCCATTTTGGGGTTAGACCTGAGTGGGACTGAACTGTCATCCAGACTTTGTCTCCTATTTGGAGGGATGGGTATGGGAGATCGGGATGTGGTTGAGGGAGTAGGTTTTCCATATGTTGCCAAAGTGCATCTTGTATCTGGGCAAGTAAGGGAAAAGGAAGGTGGGATGACAGTTTGGGGCTGTCATGGGTGGAGGGGAATCCTAAAGGTATTGTGGGCCTCCCGTACATGGCCTCGAATGGACTGATTGATACTTAGAGGGTTTTTTGGTAAGGCCCGGACCTTTAAGAGGGCTAAAGGGAGGAGTTTAGTCCAATCTTGATGAAGTTCGATTGTTAATTTGGTCAGAGTTTCTTTTAGGACGTGGTTGGCTCTCTCAACCTTACCGGAGGACCGGGGGAGGGGGGTGGGGTGGGGTGGGGTGGTAAGGAATGTGAAACTTCCAAAGAATTTGAAGGGCTTGTGCAATACTTTGGGTGATTTAGGATGAGAACTCAGGCCCATTGTCAGACTGGAGGGAGAAAGACGTTCCAAACCTGGGAGGGATTTCAGCAAGAATAAGGTGAGCCACAGTAGGGGCTCATTTGTTAGTAGTCGGGAAAGTGTCAATCCATCCGGAAAATGTATCTATGAAGACTAGGAGGAATTTAACCCTTTTTACAGGTGGCCTGTGGGTGAAAATCTACCTGCCAGTCTTGTGTG